CCACTGCTGAGTTTTCCAAATTTGCTGGCATATTGAGTGCAGCACTTTCACAGCATCATCTTTCAGGATTTGAAATAGCTCAACTGGAATTCCATCACCTCCACTAGCTTTGTTCATAGTAATGCTTTCTAAGGCCCACTTGACTTCACATTCCAGGATGTCTGGCTCTAGGTGAGTGATCACACCATTGTGATTATCTAGGTCATAAAGATCTTTTTTGTACAGTTCTTCTGTGTGTTCTTGCCACCTCTTCTTAATATCTTCTGCTTCTGTTAGGTCCATACCATTTCTGTCCTTTATCGAACCTATCTTTGTGTGAAATGTTCCCTTGGTACCTCTAATTTAGGAAGTATTTAAAATACAATGGAATTATTTATGTCCTATAATTTGAGTTAGAACGAAAATATTTTTCTTCTTGTCATTGTAGAACGTCCTGTCTTCTCAATTTCTGCAGATCTTGAGGTTCTGAGATTAATGGACTAAGCTCATGGACTATGAAAATGTAATAAATATTAAATTTTTAAGTTTCTGGAATTACAGAACAAGTCTTCTCAGCATTTTTAGCAGTTTTTTAAAGCACTGTGCCCCAGTGGCTAGGAGGAACGATTTTATAGCTGAGCCTTTTTTTTTTTTCCCGCTGTGTCTTAAAAGTGGAATTGGGACATTTTTCATTTAATGTGATTTTAAATACTGAAGATTACACTCAGTAAATAAGTTGTGATGTGGTGATCACAGTGTGATCTTTTAGTGATTTCTTTTAGTACAGAATCTTTACCTTTACTGTTAGACATCTGTCTCTACTTTTCCTACATGTTTTCCATCTCTATTTTCAGTAGAAAAGCTTTTCAGTTGTGTTTTTGGTTATGAAATGCATTATGTTGTCTGCGGAAAACACTGATACTTTTCAAAGTGCAAGGTTATTATTGTTTCAACTAATTGCCTTATTTGTTTGTAAAAGGGAAATTTTTATAAAAAATGGAGAATAGCTGTAAATTGCTTTCTTGCGGTCTTTTCAAGCAGATATCACAATGTAACTCTCCACTTTTATAGCAAGGGGTAGAAACTATTACTGTGATAATCAACATATCACAGTTGCATTAAGATTTTTAATGTTACTTTCAAAATTCTGAGTTGTTGGGATGTTGGTCTTCTACTGTTGACACTAGAGAATATTATTTGACTCTATATTTTTTCCTGTTAATATTTAAGTACTATTAGGAGATGGTCAATTTTCAAGCACACAGACACATTTTTAATGTTTGAGGTAGTAGTCCTCTTTTGTACATATTGATTTTCTTATTCCATTCTCCTAGTGTCCACTTGGCAAGAAGAGTGCTTCAGTTACAAAAACAAAACTCGTTGGTTTTAAAAGACCTGGACCATCAAAAGAACCAAGTAACACAGCTTTCACAAGAGGTAAATAACCTAAACAAATGAAACACATATAAAGAATCACAGTGTTGATTATAATTCCTTGTTACTCGTTTGTGTATTTTCTGAGCAGTTTCAAAATAAGCTGTTTGCTAGTACAAAATGATTTTACAGTCTATGAAAACTAACTGAATAAAGCAACTTAAAGTGTATGGTAAAACCTAAGATCAAAAAAAGAGATTAAGTACCCAGACTAAATATAAATGCAGGCTAGACAGACAAAGCTTTGATTTCTGAAAATATACACTGGCAAAGCAAGTTTAGCAAATTTTGGTGTTATTTTCAGTTTTAAACTAAAGACTCATTTTTAAAATAAATTTGCTTTTTGACTTCCTCTTCTTAATATCTTCTGCTTCTGTTAGGTCCATACCATTTCTGTCCTTTATCAAGCCTATCTTTGCATGAAATGTTCCCTTGGTATCTCTAATTTTCTTGAAGAGATCTCTAGTCTTTCCCATGCTATTGTTTTCCTCTATTTCTTTGCATTGATCACTGAGGAAGGCTTTCTTATCTCTCCTTGCTATTCTTTGGAACTCTGCATTCAAATGAGAATATCTTTCCTTTTCTCCTTTGCTTATTGCCAAATTCAAACTTAAATTGAAGAAAGTAGGGAAAACCACTAGACCATTCAGGTATGACCTAAATCAAATCCGTAACAATTATACAGTGGAAGTGAGAAATAGATTTAAGGGACTAGATCTGAAAGACAGAGTGCCTGACGAACTATGGACAGAGGTTCGTGACATTGTACAGGAGACAGGGATCAAGACCATACCCATGGAAAAGAAATGCAAAAAAGCAAAATGGCTGTCTGAGGAGGCCTTACAAATAGCTGTGAAAAGAAGAGAAGCAAAAAGCAAAGGAGAAAGGGCCTTCTATGTAATGTACTTTTAATACTACAGCATTAGGAGGATCTTTATGCTCAAATTTCAAGACAAGACAGACTTCATGTGACTGCAGTACCTAATTCATGGTTAATGTTCAGGGCAGAAGCAGTGTTGTGCTGGCCACTGGACATCGGCCCTCACATTGGCAGGGGTTTGAGGGATGGCTCTGATGTGTAGCATTTGCTTATGTCTCATGCATAAATATTCCTCCTGTGACTAACTTCAGGTCTCCAAAATAACATTACGAAGCATAAAGTAGAGAAAAGATGCTTAGTAGCACATATGATGCTACTAACCACACAGATACAACAGAAATGTAAACTAAAGAGCATAGATAGTAGTAAAATTAAAATTGTTGAGTATTTGAATTTTTTAATAAAGTTTGCTTTATTATGAATCTACATAATATTTAATAATAGTGATGTTTAACAACCTCCTCACAAAATTAAGAAAGAGTTACCAGCCGTCTCACAAACCTACAAGCCCACTCCACCACATCACCAGCTGGAACCATGGAAGGATATATAAATAAGAGAATTACTAAAGAAGCAAATGAACGTCTTTTTGTTAGTGTATTCTAGATCCCTCTTGTTTGTTTTAATTTCAGAATAACCTATCAAAAATATTTCTTTTAAAAGTACTGAAATTCACATAAACATATACATATGTTTTTATATTGCTTTTTAAAAAAAATCTCCTGAGTACTTAATTGAAATAAAAATTTCTAAATGGGTTCATACTCCTATAAAATAGTAGGGAAGAAGTATAAGAAATTAAGTCAAGTACTCTTGTAATGAAGTATAATTCACTTTGTGTGAAGCAATTTTTTAGAACACTGTTGGCTTATATTAGAAAAAGATGTAAAAATATTGAAATATTTGTGATACGATATAATGCCTGGAATTCATGTTCCATAAAAATGTGGGGGAGGAGCTCAATATATAATCTCAAAATGTTGATAATGATTGAAGCTTGGTGACAGATACATATAGATTCAGTATTCAGTTCTGTACTTTTGAAATTCTTTCATAAGACTTATAGACAATCAGTAACTCTGAAAAGGTTTCTACTGACTGTGATATATACTTTTTCCCTTGCAGTTGAAAAAAAGTATTAGCATTTGATATATTCCATGGATTTTACTTTTTCCTGCCATACAAAACTTTCCTTTAATTGAAAAAGAATTCCACAAACTAATTAGCTGAAAAGTGATAATATTAGATTGCTTCTATACCTATGGACTATTCATGATAGATGTTGAAAAAACAGGAAGAACAGTCTCTCAGGATCTGTATTCTTTTGAGTAAGTTAAATATGTTTAAACACATTGGAGTTTCTGAGAATTAATACAGAGATGAAAATCAACTGACTAATAATTAAAATTAACATTAATTTGTATGTTATTCAAATTATATCTGAGATTATGCATAAAGGAATTGTCTAAGTCCAAGTGCTAAAAAATATTCAAAATGAAAACAGATACTCCTTTTATAGCAGCTTTATTGAGTCATAATTGATATAAACTAATCTGTGCGGGTTTAATCTGTACAATATGACTGACGTGAATAACCATGAAACCATCACCAAAACAAAGACAATGAACAGATGTGTCACTGCCGATGTTCCCTGTGTCCCTTGGGAACCTCTGGCCCAGCCCTCGCCACCCCCCTGTTTGTCCCTAAGCCTCACTAATTTGCGTTATATCACTGTAGATTAGTTTGCATTTCCTAGACTTTTATGTAAATCAAGTATATATGCATGAGCAACTGGGGAAGCCTTATGTATATAATATGCACACACTGTTTTTTTTGTCTGTCTTCTTTCATTCTGCATAATTATTTCAAGATTTGTCCACAGTCCATTCCTTTTACATTGCTGAGGAACATTCCATTGTATGAATTTACCACAGTTGTTCATCCATTCACTTCTTGATAGATATTTAGGTTATTTCTGGTTTTTAACCTATTGTCAATAAAGCTGATATCAACATCCATGTACAAGTCTTTATATAAACATATGTTTCTGTTTCTCCTGGGTAAATGCCTGGGAGTGGAAATAGCTGGATTGTGTGGTAGGTGTCTAATGTTTTAAGAACCTGCCAAACTGTTTTCCAAATATTCATACTATCTACTTTCTCCACTAACAGCATATGAAAGTTCTGGTTCCTCTACATCCTTGCAATGATTTGATTTGGTCAGTCTTTTTAAGTTTACCCCATTCTCATAGTGGTGTTAATTTGCATTTTCACAATGATTCATCTTTGCTCTTTGTTTCTCTTACTGGGAGAAGTGTCTGTTCAGATTTTTTGCCCATTATATCAGATTGTTTTCTTATTAATGAATTTTGAGAATTATTTGTGTATTCTAGATACAAGTCTCTTATCAGCTATATGGTTTCCACATATTTTCTCCCACTCCATGGCCTGTCTTTCCATCTCTTAATGCTGATTTTCAAAGAGCAGAAGTTTTTATCTTGTCCATTTTTTCAGTTCACTCTTTTTTAGACTGTGTTTTCTATGTTGTATCTAAAATATCTTTGCCTAACTTGTGGTTAGAGTTTTTGTCTGTGTAGTCCTGTAGATCTTTCATAGTTTAAATTTATGATCCATTTTTAATGTTTGTGTGGAAAGGACACAGAAGAGCCAAAAAGCTTTGAACAAAATTGGAGGACTAGTAACATCTACTTTCAAGACATTATAAAGCTGCAGTAATGAAGATGATGTGGTAATGACATAAAGACAAAGATAACTGGAACAGAGAGACCAGGGACAGACTCACACATAGATTTTTAACTGATCTTCAACAAAGGTGTTCTTTATTCCTTTGTGTAAATCCAAATTTCCATCTGGCATCATATTGCTTCTGGTTGATATAATTCTTTTAACAATATTTATAAAGTAGGTCTGCTGGAGATAAATTCTTTTCACTTCTGTATGTTACAAAATGTTATTTTATCTTTTTGTTGTTTGGGTTTTTTGGTCTTTTTTTTTTTTTTAACATTTCTGACTATCTATTCTTAACAAGAGTCAAGACTAAAACATTTCTCCATTATGCTGCTACAGCCAAAAATAAACTGGAAGGGTTCACTGGGTAGCCTTTCCCTTCTCCAGGGGATCTTCCCGACTCAGGGATCAAACCCAGGTCTCCCACATTGCAGGCAGATTCTTTACCAGCTGAACCACAAGGGAAGCCCAAGAATACTGGAGTGCATAGCCTTATCCCTTCTCCAGCGGATCTCCCCGACCCAGGAATAGAACTGGGGTCTCCTGCATTGCAGGCAGATTCTTTACCAGCTGAGCTATCAGGGAAGCCCTTTTCTTTTTTTATTGGAGTAAAATTCATGTAACATAAAATTCACCATTTTAAATATTTTAAATTGTACAGTTCAATAGATTTTGTTATGTTTGTAATGTACAATCATCACCACTATTTACTTTCAGAACATTCATGTCACCCAGGAGAAACGTGAACGCACTCAGCGCTCACTCCTCAGTCTCCCTTCCCTCCAGCCCCTGGGAACCTCTAATGTGCTTTCTGTCTCTATGGATTTGCCGGTTCTACATGCTTCATATAAATGGAATCATGCAAAATGTGCCTTTGTGTGTCTGACTTCTCTCAGCATAATGTTTTCAAGGTTCATATATTAATATGTTGCACTGTCTATCTGTACTTAATTTTTTATGGCTGAGTAATATTCCACTATACAAATACTTCACATTTTGTTTATCTGTTCACCAGTGGTGGACATTTATCATTTCCATCATTTGCCTATTGTAGATAGCCCTGAGCATTCATGTACATTTTTATTTGTTTGAACACATATTTTCAGTTATGAGTGCATACCTAAGAGTGGAATTACTGGGTGACATGGTAATTCTGTTAACTTTTTGAGGAACCAGGGAACTGTTTTTCACAGCAACTGCACCATTTACATTCCCATCAGTAATGTTCAGGGTCCAGTTGCTAACATTCTTGCCAATGCCTATTTTCTGTTTTCTGGGTTTTTCTAAATTCTAGCCATCTTAGTGGGTGTGAAATGGTGTCTCATTGTGATTTCAGTTTGTATTAACCTTATAATTAATGATGCTAAGCATTATTT